GAGAGAGAGAGAGAGAGAGAGAGAGAGAGAGAGAGAGAGAGAGAGAGTGTGAGAGAGAGAGAGAGGATGAGAATCTGCCGAACTAACACTCTCAATTAACACTAAGCGGTTTAGGGTCATACTCTGCCACGAGTCGGAGAGCGGGTGGAAAGGGTGGGAAAGGGGTGAGAGATGACCAGGGATGTGGGGGAGGGTGGGCCGAGGAGGGATGGGGTGGACGAAGTGTCAAAACAATCAACCGGGCCCGGAACTGTCGGAAATCTCAGTTTACTCGGTCAAAATAAAAACCTTACTATGCTAAATGACGACATTCAACATTGCAACTGCCTGCCTGCATTTAAACAGCGAGCAGGTGTTTGGATAGCCGGCCGGCTGGCGGGCCGAGCGCCTGCGGTCGGGGGGGTAGGCATCCCGCCCGCACCCGCGCCGAGCGGGCGGCCCAGCCGGCGGGTGCTCCAGGCGCCCGTGCCGGCCCGAGCCCGAGCCCGAGCTGCACCGGGTCGAGGGCCAAAGGGAGAGAGATTGTTAATTATTGTGGAGATCAGACCACAGGAAAGGGCTTGCGATGGTCCGACCGGAGCGCATGGCAACAGGGAAATATATTCCGGGCGAGGCAAAAGAAAATTAAATGGCAAACTGCCTTGGCAGAGAGCGGAACCAGGCGATCCAGTCGCCTCTCCGTTCCCCGCCAGGTCATGGTGGGCGAGGAGCAACAGTCTGGAACTTTTCCACGATCTCTTCCCTGTTAAAAACAACCCCCGCGTGCGCAGACGTAGCTGCCGAATAAAAATGTCGGCTTAAAAAGCATGAAATATATACACACAAAAGATCATCGTTATGAAAGACACTTTTGTCTTCGCCCTGAGCGCCGTGCGCCACGGCGGAGACGCGACCTCGGCGCAGAGGCTTGAGCAGGCCAGGCAAGCCTTCAGGCCTTCAGGCCTTCAGGCGCGCAAGGGCTGCTTCTCCTGCTGCTCCTTCTGCTGCTTTGAGGACGGAAATTAAATGTCTACCGATCCTACAGGGCCTGAGCCGCCGCCCCGCCACGCCGCGCCGCGACACCCGCCCATCAGCATCTTGTTTTTGCGGGAGCGCCGTGGCCTGCGAGGCCACAAACACTCCGTCGCGTGAACAGGGGATCTGCAGTACGGGACGTGAGTGAGACGGGACAGTAACAAAGCCACCGCACTCGACACGTTTATCTTCACACGAATACACCATTTTCAAAAAAGATACAAAATTATACAATAGAAAAATAAGACTCTCTCTTTAAGTTATTATGTGTTTTTTTTTTAAAGGACTATTATTGTTTGAGTCACAATTTAAGAACGGATCGGACAGAATGAGTCATCGTGTGGCGGACGCGTGTTCACCTCTTTCACGTCCGCTTCCCTCACTCTCACTCCCACCCCACTACCGAGAGGCGGTTGGATGGGGGTGGGTGGTGGCGGGGCTCGGCCGGAGCGGAGCGGAGCAGAACGCTGTGTAATTCCTCTAATCGTCGCGAGATTGTGTTACAATTCGAGCCCAGAGATTACTGCGGTGGCGGGGCGGGACCCCCCGAGTCCGGCAAAACATCCAACCAACCACGCCTTGTTTAGCAGCGAGTCTACGAGCGTCAGCCTCGCTCCCCCGCCTCTCCCTACGTCCCGGCTCCCTGCTCCCCCTCGCTCCCCGCGCAGCCCTTCCCTCCCGCCTCCTCCCCCGCGGCATAGCAACGCGGCCGAGGCGCGCGGCGGCGTAAAGGGACGAGGACATCTACAGCATCTTTATGATGAATGTGCAATGCGCATTACTTTTTGCCATATGAGATGGCCGAGTGCTGAGCAGACATAAGGGAGCAGAAGAGGCCGGGCGTGGGGCTAGAAAGAGAGGGACAGAGAGAGAATTTTAGAATTCATTGAGGGGGAGAGAGAGAGAAAGAGGGAGGGGGAGGAGGAGGAGGTGTCAAAAAGCAAGAATGGTAGGCGATGTGCCTACTAAAATGCAAACATGAAGAGGAATAATGACTATCAGAGGAAACAACACACGTGTGATATCACGCACGACACTCCCACCCGGGTGGAAGGATCTGCAGTTAAACTATAGTTTTAACTACACTAGCAAAACTACAGTTTTAAAACTGTACTTTAAAGACGCGAGTAACCGTTCTCACACTATAGTTCCCCACTGCACTCTTGCCTCGACTTTTACACGTCAACAACTTCATAATTCACACATTTTTTCTGCAGTTTTAAAGTGAAGTATGCAGTACACTGTTCTGAGCAGAATACACTTCAAATTTTCATGCCCGCCCTCTACAGTGCCAAAGTTTACTTACTAATACAGTTCGAAAAGGTGTTACAAATTATCGTTGAGTGCTATTTTACTGCATTTCTACAGTTAACTTTGCGTTGTAGACTGAGGTGCAGTATTAAAACACAAGCATTTGTACTTGCGACGTTTGTCGACAAGTTCTTACCACGAGCAGGCGGGAGGTCGGGCATCGGGGTGCGCGGTGTGTGAATAACGCTTCCCTGGGAGTTCCCTCGGACCCATCGACTGTCGCGCTTCCAGCGGCAGCGCAGGGAAACACCGTGGTGCTCTCAGCTGCTTCTCATACGCAACAAGCCGGTAAGACTCGGTCGTACTCGAGCCAGCCTCGTCAGTTTCAGTCGCTATGTTTTTACCATGGACAATTTAGAAAATTGTAGGCGAAGGCGCAAGCGAGGCCCATACATTCAGTATCACTTCAGAGACTCGGCTGTCCCCGTTCCGAAATCGACGCTGAACGAACTTGATCATCCAGAACGAAAAAGGTGCATAAATCTTTTCGTTTGTTGCTCCTTATTTTGTTTGCCTTTCTCTATCATGCGTTTTGTTGTTACAGAGCTAAGCCAGCTAATCCACCTAAACCAGCAGTGCCGCGGAAGAAGGTGCTCCAGGATAGTCAGGGCATCAATAAACAAAAACATGACTTTTTAACCTCAACCTTCAGTGACGTCGACCCCACCAACTACTTGGAAACGTGAGTGAAACTGTTATTCATACTCCTAAAGAACTCTAGTTGTAGCCTACTTTTACAAAAAATTCATATTGCTGTTTGCTTTTTTTCACACCTGGGCTAACCTGTGCCACATTCATTCTTAATGGTTTTAGGCCAATTGGTGCAGCTTCATCTGATCCTGCTGTTAGCATTGACAACGGCAATGGCAATGTGCCTGCTTGTGATTTTACTGACTGTGATGCGGATGTTCCCTGTGTTGACGGTTTTCTTGATGAGGATGATGATGATAATGATGAATCAGAACAATTTCAATGCATGGACGAAGAGGTAAGTTTAAATTTTCCTCTTGTACATTGTTGATTGTTACTTTTGGCAATGTCTCATGTCTCTGGTGCCATTTAGGAGCTATTCGACCAAATATTTGACGAGCCTCCTGATGACCCTGATGATAACCAACTTGATGACGATAGTAGTCAAGATGAATCCGAGGATGATGAATGCGCCACTGCACCAGACCTACCTTCCAGTGTTAGAGATAGAGTCAAACTACTACTTTTATTGGCTACTAAGAAGAGACACAATCTAACTTATACTGCTGCAGAATCAGTAATGAAGTTGAGCGGCCTTCTTAACAAAGACAGGGATGGATTCTCACCTTCCAAGTTTCTGATGAAAGAAGCTATTGATGCATATTCCTCTGATATGACTGTACACTATGTGTGTCCAAATTGTGGTGATTACATTGGTCGTATAGAATATAATGTCAATATTTGTGGTAACTGCCAACTTCAACTTGATTATAATGAATGCAAGAAAGGAAAGAGTTACTTCCTCTATTTATCTGTAAAGCAACAGATTAAGGCACTCCTTGAAAGTGGGCTGTCAGCCCATTTAATTTCTCCTCAACATCGGTCAAAACTGTGTGCTTCAAATTATGAGGATGTATATGATGGAAAATTGTATAAAAGACACGTCCCCAAAGGAGCTCTGTCCTTTAATATCTTTGTTGATGGATTACAGGTACTGCTTTAGTTCTTTGTTTTTATTTTGAATGTTGCTGTTTTTATTAAAGATGAAAGATTTTTCATGTTTTTTTTCTAATACCTCGTTCCAAATAACACACACACACAACTTTGCTCACACCTCTCCACACGACGACCCAATGGCACGTCATATACCT